CAGCACCTACCGGTAAAATTAGATAACTTGTACGTAAATTTGGCACGAATTTGAGATTTTAACAAATTTCAGGGCACTTTTATCAAATAAAAAAGAAGTTATATTTATAAAGTTTCATATTATGCTCTAAACTCTTGAGACAATTAGCACGTTTTTGTATAACATGACATGAATTGTTTATCTCTCTACATATTAAGGGGAAATGCTAAGGTTCCGTTATGGAACAATTCTGTCGGACTTTGTAACAGTTATATCATGATGTAACCGTCACAGGTTGATCTAACAATTACAAACTCCGACGAAAATGATTATGTAACGGGACCGAAGTATCTTCCCATATCAAGTATCACTCATCCATTAACAAATTAAATGAAATTGGAAGTGGGGCACAAAAATAAAAAAATATATTTTTCAAAAGTGGGCTTCATATATCAATCATCATCACAGCATATATATGCATTGAACTAAGGAGATGAAAACATAGATTGAACGAATAATTAATGATGCAATATTTTCGTATTGTTTATGTCATGCAATTAGGCCCCTCAAATTCAATAATTAGGTTAATTTTTCTAAGTTTTTTTATAATTATTATGTGTGAAATAATTGGTATGTGATGTAAGACTTTGGAGACCAAAAATTAATGTATAAAAAACTAACGGCCCGAATCTTGATTTTTGCCCCTAAATATGGTCAACTGAAAGTTGGTCATACGATCAACACAACGACTTTTTTTATTGCCAATGTTCCAATTGGGAAATCAACTGCCCTCCTCAATTATAAAAATAATTTATACAACACTCTTGTCCTATGTAAGCACAATTTGTTATTAGAACAAAGTTATATTAATATAATGGAATGATACAAAAATAATATGGTTGTATATTGGTTGTTAATTTTAAAGTGAATGTGATGTGTGCATTAATTAGCAAAAAAAATATATGGAGTAATCGGATAGTTTTTTTATGGAGTCATCCACCACTTGATGCTTTTTCGTTTGTCCAAATTGTATTTATTGTAGAGTACGTGTCAATACACTATTGGTGAATAAGTATGGATGACTCCATAAGTCGAGTCATCGATGACTCTATAGAAAAACTCGCATTAATAAGATCGTAACACATGTATATTATGTCAAAATTTATGTTGTAATTAATGTTGGTATAGAATGATTCTTGCTATGATACAGTTGTCTTACATTTTGTGGAGACAACTTAGTGGTACTTGGGCCCGTAAACGAGTCGAGTCGAGCCGAGCTCGAGCTCAGGTCGTTAAATAAACGAGCTAAAAATAGAGTTTGAGCTCGACTCGTCAAGCAGATGAATTATAAACCAGTCGAACCAAACTCGTTAAATTTAACAACACTAGTTGTACTTCATCTCGATACGTTAAATTTTCCTTAACAGATGTTATTTTTCTATTTTTTCTAAAACTATGATATTATATGAAAAAATCTTGACTCTCAAAGATTATTAAAACAAATAAAAACAAATATATAAAACATAGTGTTAATCTATTCTGTTTGATTGGTTTACCAATCGATCTATGGAATAATATGTGCAGCTAAATTTTATTTTTAGTACACTAGATTGGTCATTTTCCCTAAAAGGTCCATCATATAGAGTGTCATCATCGAGAATTGTAAATTAAGTTGTCACTTTAATCGAAATTAGTAAAATAGCCAATGGTGTACTGAAAATAGAAACTAAAAATGATCACTTTTAGTAAACTATGTTGGTTATTATGTGAATTCTGATTAAAGTGACAACATAGTTAACCATTCTTAATAATTCTCTATGTGATAGACCTTTTTCGATAAATAGCCAACGCAGTGGACTATTTTTGATGAATTGGCTAACACCTTGGTTGAAAGGCAAAACTTAATAATCCATTATCCATACCATGTTGCATATACAATTTAACAAGCAAAAAAATTAAGAAAAACAAATTATTTTACGAGATAATTATGGCAGTCATGTTAATATAAATAAATATTCAGCTCTCCTAGATTCTTTCATATATACATATAAATTTTAATTTTATATGCTTTGATATGAGATTTGTATTGTTTTAACAATCATTAAATATTACACTCAAAACTTTAGACAAATCATATCAAAAAAAGGATATAATAACAATGATTCATAACTTGTCTTTTCAATTTCACATCTAAAGTGGGAAAAAACTTGGAAGTGTCAACATAAGAACCAATAATGGCCCACCAAAATATGTCCCTTAGCTACCCAAATTATTATGTCCCTTGAATTGTTTCTTCCTTTGCCTTTTTCCCCAATTAAATTATTAGAGATGCTACGGTTCCGTTATGGAATCATTCTGTCATGGTTTGTAACCGTTTAATCAACTATTCCGACGGTTACATGATGATCTAACGATTACAAACCTCGACAATATGATTCCATAACGGGATTGTAGCATTTCCCTAAATTATATCATTAGGCCACTGGAATAATCTTTTTCAATGGATTTTTTTTTTTTTTTTTTAATTTATTAACGGGTCTGTAGAGTTTATGATCACATTCGCCTCTTCTTATCTGAAATATACATACAATCTTGGAAAATTTGGAAATTCTTGAAGCCTAATAATTAAATTTTGGAGTTGATTTTTTTAGTAAGACACTAGCCATGTCCAATGGTCAACGTAGTCATAATTTTTCAAAAGATATGCATATTTTTTAAATTAAAATGACATTCTATAAAAAATAACACTAATACGAATATAATATTGTTTATAATATAGTTATGCTGATGCATTGTTCTAAAAAAAAAGTATGACGGGTCGACCAACTTGGCCCTTATGAGAATATGTGGGTTTTCATGTGATGTGAGGTTTTTGTCTGAATTGTATCAGTGAACTCATGAACTTTATATTAATTTTTAGCTTAAATGTGGTGATTCTACAGTTATCCCGCCGAGCACGTAATTGGGCTTAGTTTAGCCCATACTGTTTTGATATATCAGTCTATGGGCTATGGCGTAGCCTGGCAGCCTTCAAGAAATTGGTATGGGTTACAGGGCGCACAGTTGGGCTTAGGCATGGACTACTTGAAAAATGTACAAAGCTTAACAGGTTAGGAAAAATTAAAAGTTTGTAATTTTTCTTTTAATCTTGCTTTCCTTTGATCAAATCCTCAAACTGTGGGCTACAAATCTCCTGGCTCAATAACCAGATGAGTGGTTGGAACAGAATTTATTAATATTTTTTTTAATATAATTGTGAGCACCCGTGTGATGTACGGACAGATAAATTAATCTTCTCCTTAGTTTTTTATTAAACTTTATTTCAAATATAATTGCATTCTATTTTCGGCAATTTTTGAATTTCTTTTTTTAAATTATTCCTAAAATATCGATTAACTATATATACACCTTAAACTCATGAGTTTTGTGGATTTAATTTATGTAAATTTCGACTGATACTTACAATTTTGCCAAATTCTTTATCATTTTTTGTTAAATATAAAAGACTGATTACTATAAAATCGAGTATTTCAATTTAAGCAAAATATTATCACATATATCTTTTCCTAATTGTAACATATTAATTGTTTAGTAAAAAAAAATTGAATTGCACAGAACTCGAGTTAATTAGGTAAATTCGGCATGATAATTTTGTAAAAGTAAAATTCTCTCATTTTTTATTAAAAAGAATTTGTTGACCACAAAATCAGAAATTTTGAATTAGTCAAAGACTATAACATGTATCATTACCTAATTACAACATATCATTTTTATTAAAATAAAATCGAATTGCATAGAAATCGGGTCCAATTTCAAAATGAAAGTTAAAATTTAAAAATCTCATATCATAAGACTACTACTTTCTTTGGTTTGGATTTTTTTAATATAAAACAGAGTCAGATAATATTAATATGAAATTCAACATAAAATTGGATTAGGACACCGTAAAAATTTGTGTTTTGCTTAATCTTATAAAATACAAATTTGGAATTGATTGCATACACGTTCACAATTTTTCTTAAATTAAGTATTTTACAATTTTAAAATAAGTCCACAAATTTTCTTAAATTAAGTAATTTACAGTTTTAAAATAAGTCCACAATTTTTCTTAAATTAAGTAATTTATAATTTTAAAATAATAGGGTATAGATTATCAAAAAAGACATTTTTACAATCTACGTTGTATTTGTCTATGCAATCTTCATAAAACCACTATAAATCATATCATATATATCCTGCTAAATAATTTAATTGATGTATTTAAGCCTATCTAGAATCTTAATACATATAGGTGTCAAGTGTTTATTCTTTTAGAAACAATTTACAAAGACAGATAGGTTGTTTTATGTTCAATAATATACAAATTACATTTTGTTTTATTTCAATACATGCATTTTATATTTTTCTAATCATCCAATTATCCAAATTTAAATACTTATCTCAACAAAATTAGCTCGTGTATCACACGAGAGTACCGCACTAATTTACAATACAGTAGCATACATATACTCACCTAAATAAGTCCATTAAGCATTCTATTTACATTGACCCCGGCATTTGTATTTCAGTATTTCTACATAATGAATATACCTAAACCATAGTGTAAAATAATATCCATAATATTATGTTGGCACATCAGATTACAGTAAAGGGAGGCACGTGTGACCTTCGAGTTTGGGGCCCATCCATAGGCAGTCAAACTCAACCTCATTGTTTGTTTACACTTGA